ATTTTATCCTCCACCATCTACCACAGAGGTATTAAAATGTATGGTCACTAAAAGGAGGCTAGCCATTGTTGGGATGCATTTAATACATGGATTTAACTGTTCATGAAGAGACAGATAAAGGAAGTTGCTTGTAATCCAAAGCAAAGAATAATGAGTCTTTTCCATTTGATGGTGAGCGAGTATGCTTACTCTTAGGGTCTCATTTAATACATTAAGAATAAAAAATGAATAAATTAGCAATTCATTCAATTAATTTCCTTGTGTGGAAAAATATTCATTTTCACTTCCTAATTTTATAAAAATAATTAGAACACAAAGAAACAAAATTCATGGGCAACAAATACCTAAGAAAACTAATACGTGAAAAAGTTTGTTTGCTCTATATTTCCACTGTAATTCTCCAAGGCAAAAATATAAATTAAGAACCCAAGTTTTAGTGCAAAACATACAGACTTACTGAACTGACTAAATGTCCCAGTAAAGAAAAATTTAGAAGTAGCATAAAGAATACACTCTCTTCTAGGAATTATGGCTATCTGGTCACTAAAAATGTTTGCCATTATTAAGCATTTAGCTGTGAAACATCAATGTTAACAGACTGTCCTTACAGCTTAAAAAAGGTGATATGGAAAAAAGATTGGTTAAGTAAATGTTTTCACATTTTTTTCTCTAAATGAATAAAAAATAGTCCAGGACATTCTTTCCATCCTATCACACTTTTACATTTTCACTCAAACAGCTGAAATTCATTTTTTTCCTGTTTGTGCTTTGTGCCACAATAATGATGTTGGATGGAATTCCGTCATGTATCCCATAATTCAATGGATAAAACATCAGGAACACATTAACAAAATGGCAATGTATTTCTTTCTATTAAAAGTTTACTTCTGAAAACATAATTAGAAGCAAGCTCCTTCCAGGTTGAAATTTTAGTGGTAAGTCTCCGATGGCCTACTTTAAATTGATTTTTTCCAGTACTTAAATTTTACTTTCTGAAGCCCTAAAATGTGGGATAATTCATGTAGGTCTGTTTTTTCCCAATTCAAGGGCAATACTTTGTGAAAGCCTTAACACTATACAAGGAGTGAAAAAATAATTGTAACAGTAAGAAGCCCTGCTATGATCTCTTATAAACAACACCAAGAACATCCAGTAACTCTAGGTTATTTGAATATACTATTGTATCTAAGAGAAGTACTAAATTACAGGTTAAAGTAAGCCTGTGATCATTTAAAATACTGAAGAAAAATTCATGCTTTTAAAAACTTAATGAGTAGCTTATTTTAAACAAAGCCATTAATCTTTAAAATTTTAAAGTAAAAATATATGATATGAGGGAGTATGCTAACCACTTTATGTACATTATCTTGTTCTTTACAACCATGAGTCAGGTACTATTACGATCCTCATGTCATAGCTATGGAAAGAAAGGCATGGAGGCTAAGAAAACTTAACCGATATAACTGCACTATGTGGTGAAGTCAGGACTTGAAACCAGCAAAGCCCAACATCTTAACAAGAATATACTGGCAAAATTCCCACAATATTAGCTGTCCTAGTGTCAATAATGTCCTTTTAAAATCCAGTTCTCTCAAACCAATCAAAGAAACCTATTTGAAAAACTGTACCCAATCCTCATAAGTGTACATGGAATGTGCTTTTTTTCCTTTATCTTAGAACTGCTAATGAAGAAAAATTATCCAGAATTTTCAGAAACATGCTAAATGACCATATAGGCATACAAATAAAAAGAAAATGTAAAAAAAAAAAATAGTGTACCTATGGGGAAAAAGACATAAATGCCATTTGAAAAAGGACTTGGCTATTCTGTGTACACTAGAAATAAAATGGACAATTATTTGGACGGCCAAACAAATTAACAAGCAATAGCCGACGAGGCCTTAAAAAAATGTAAAGGCTTCTGTGCCCAACACAACTACCACTGCATATCATATATCTTTCCAAAGACTATTAAGTACCTAAGAACTTATGTAGTTTTATTAATAGGAGATGTCTGAACAAAGAAATGAGAATGATTAAATGTGATTTTCCATTCCATGTGTGGGATATAGTTCAAGAGTAGTACTTTATGAAAAACTTAGAAAAATGAAGCAATATCTTAAGTAGACTAAAAGGAATGGTGATAGCCCAATTATAGGATCTTTCTTAAGAAAGTTAAGGTTTAATAAGCCTATAATACTAAAGAAGCATTTTAGGATTTATTTAATTTCATATTTAGGTTACACAAATAATACATATGTTGAAGAAAAACTAAAAGGACGGCTATAA